GCCGCACGCCGCTCTGAACCATTACATATACTCTTAGTGAACCTATTAGAGGGTTTCTTGACGCAACCGAAGCGGAGCACGATTACGTCATCGCCCTAGTCATCCCCTGGCACGATTAAGTTATGCGCGCGAAGTGAATTTCAGATGATTTAAATTTCTCAAAATTCTAGCATACCTATACACCACATGTGTTACGCTATACTCTCTGTGAATAATCTGGAGTTTACTTGAACCGCACGATTAGTCATATATCAATTAGCCAAATCATAATACGTACGCGTAAATCTCCCGTACCGGCTTGAATATAGACACCGCCCGACATGAGCCCGCTGCCGGTCCAGGATAGAGCATGATGTCGCAGAATTGCATGAGACTATGTCATTTGCCGTAAGCATGTGGGGTAGCCCGCTTTAAACCATCGACCGGGTGCTTCTTGACAGGTCTCTTTGTTGCATTTCGACCGAGAGAAACATCCTATGTGAACTTCACAAGAAAGTGGGTGGCAAAAAACCAAGGCCTTCAGCGAGACATACTCGCGCCGTTTTCCCCACTGTTTCAACCATTGCTACGCGTCTTCTCGCTTCTCCAGGGCCTGACCTAATTGCTGGTTAGCACATCTGTTCTCCTCTCGGCCTACGCGCAGCTCAAAACGAATGATGCGTTTTTTGTCCCACTTGAAAGACTGTGACTTATGGCGCGCACTCAAAACACCAGCATAAAGTGGTGGCCTTGGCAGCTCATGCGCTGCGTGCATTGACAGCGGTGCGCGTTTACTAAGGTTTGTTTCCTCTCATCGGGGCGGTTCCCCGCATCTACATCCGGGTGCAAATAGTCAAAGTTCGGGGCCCCGGGATTCCGCCCCACCTAGTTAGGCGGCGTTCACAACACAAGAAAAACCGCGGGATGTCTCAATGAACAGCGGATGAATAACTCGAGATATTGTGTCGTTGTCACAAGGCGAATAATCGCGCTAATGCCGAGACGGCGAATAATTCTATTCAATAGAACTCAGGGCGCATGCTCACTGCACCCAGGAAATGATGGCTCACTCGCGCATGGCTCCACAAGTGCGCTTCACTGGGCTTGGACCATGATGGGAATAGAAAATTACGCGGGATTATTTGCGCGAGTCGTTCCACACCGCACAACTCCCCTCGCGCTAAATTCCAATAATCGCGCCAGTCCACACGTCCGCGCATTCTGCGAGCCAGCGGATGCTGATCCGCGACTTATTAGCTGCGGTACGTTACCTGCGTTCACACTCTGTGTGAGTATTTGATCGGCCGGTCATCGGGATGTCTTGCGGCCATACCGCAGCCATTCATTCCGCGCCCACGCCTCGTGAACGCGCGTATAATGACCACCAAAGCATATAACCTACCCTCCCTACTCGACACTCATTCACAGGACGTGAGCCTCTAGGATGTTACTGCCATACAAAACTGTAGCCTTAGCTGTAAAGCAAGATCGTCTATCCCCATGTAGTTTGCTTAACAGATCATTTTCGATTGTTATACCATTAATTTCAACTCAACTGCTAACAAATTTTAACGGCGGGCTCAGTGGACACAGCGCGACCGCAGGAGGGTGCTGCCACCGAAAAAGTTGCGTAATTTGGACATTCTATTTTGCACGTTAACCAGACCGAGAGGCTAAATCACAAAAAGTGCAATTAATAATTTAATACGCTAAAATGCTATTTAACCGACGATCACTTGCATTGTTAGGGCAAAATTTAATCCATATTATCAGACGAAACTATATGTCGTTCAATAAAGAGATTACCAATCCTTTTGCCTTTAAATGAATAAATAAGAAACACCCTCGTCTGTAGCTCTTGGCTTGGAAAGTGGTTTTGCGCAACTTATCAGATCGTGGGCGCTCTGAAGTGGCGCCGACCCCGTCGTTTGTAATCAAACTGTAGCTCGTATAAGTTTTTAAAACATTGAAAAAAAAATTTCTAGATAGTGATTTGAACCATGAAACTTTTTATGTAGCGATAAGTTATAACCTAAATTAGCTGAAAATAACCTGCAGAACGTGAAAATAACCCTAGAACCTAGAGTAAACGATCCCTTTAAGCATCGACAAGATACCGCCCGCAAGAAAGTCGCCCGCTGTCAATTAAGAAACTCCTGATGTCGCAGGTATAAGGTTTTCTCTGTGTGTGTGTGTGTGTGTGTGTGTGTGCGTGTGCGTGTGCGTGTGCGTGTGCGTGTGCGTGTGTGTATAGCTATTTTGTCCGGGATACAGCAGGGATGTATCAGGTTATTTGCAGGGATGCGCCAACCTGACTTGGAAGGGATACCTTCTGGCGGCAGGGATACTTTTCCCTGATTCATCCCTGCCTATGTATGCCAAATTGCCAATACATAGACAGGGATAAATCAGGGATGTGGCAGGGATGTATCAGGTGGTTCCAAATATGTAAATTACCTAGATCCCTTCCTGGAAGGGATACATCAGGAATGTTTCACCGGGATGCTATGGAAGGGATGTATCAAGGATGTCGTGTGTACCACATATTAGGGATAAATCAGGGATATGACAGGTATTCATCAGGGATGTGACAGGTATTCATCAGGGATGAAACAGGGATAATATTATATAGCAGGAATATCCCTGATACATCCCTTCATGGAAGGGATTGCAACACCCAATGAAAAAATAATACCGATCGACTTACTACAGGAAGCCGTAATTCATAAACAAAAAGCAGCTTTTTACGTACTTACAGTTTATATAAGAGATCTACATATCTATACCTCATTAATGTTTTCTAAGTGTAAAAGATATATATATAGTATTTCGTATGGGGGTCATTCATTTATTACATACGCATTCGGCAGGGTAGGGAGTAAAAAAACAGCAATATTATGCGTACCTTATCAATAAATGACCCCTATGGAATTAAAAAAAAATCATATGCTGATATGATTTGATTTTGCTGATTTGGATGTATCAGCGATACGTGACCAATTATAAATCCGTCTAAGTCAGAGAAGGGATGTATCAGGGATAGGTATGTGACCAATGAAAAATCTACCAAGTCAGAGAAGGGATACATGTATCAGGAATACATGCATGATCAGTGATAAAAATGTTTAAGTCATAGAATTAAGGGATGTATCAGGGATACATAATCAGCATTAAAAAAATTTCTAAGTCAGAGATCGAAGGGCGATGTATCAGGAATTTTTCTTGAGAACATATTAAGAGAAGGGATGAATCAGGGATAATGCTCAATAATCCCTTCCAATTATGCTTTTGGCAGGGATACCTGATACATCCCTGATACATCCCTTCCAGAAGAAGGTATCCCTGACAAAATAGCTGGGTAGTGTATGTGTGTGTGTGTCTATGTGTGCGTGTGTGTATGTGTTTGCGTATGCGTGCGTGTGCGTGTGCGTGCGTGTGCGTGCGTGCGTGCGCGTGCGTGTGTGTGTGTGTGTGTGTGTGTGTGTGTCACGGTCAAACACTTCTTCAGTCACGGCCAGTTCTACATACGTCACTGCTAGCCGCGTGGGAAGTGCCCTGCAGCTAAATATTCTAGCTGTATACGCCAATGACACAACTAAACGTTCCATCATGAACAATGTGGTCTACCCAGAAGTTCTGACCACCTAACGGGCATGGACTAGTTAACACCAATAGTATAATTACTAAGACGCACAGTATGCGAGCTAATGGAAGACTAGTGTCGACTATAGTGAGTGCTTGTGACTGGTGTGTGCTCGATAGATGATTACTGATGAAGAAACAGTGAACACTCGAGCGCGATCGCCTGTACGCATCGACGTCATATCATCAGGGGTTAATAATGACAAATGTCATTATCATTTCTTGTCATTATTAACCCCTGATATCATCTACACAATATCTGTAAGAAATCGGGTGATTTTGGTGGACGCAGGCACGCACGCACGCACGCATGCACGCCAGACGCAAGCATGCACGTTCACACAAACACAGACAAACACGCCCACACAGAGACACGTGCGTACACGCGCATGGTCGCAAACGCCGAGTATCTCGCTCTCTGCTACAGACGTAGGTTATTTCCGTTCTTACAATAGCAGGTAAAATAACAGCAGGCATTGTCAGACGGAAATCGGTGTCACATGAGAGGAGGGAATGCGTATAATGTAGCATAATATGGATAATATCGTAGAGAGACGTCTGACAGACGCGATCCCAGCCAAAATAGGCGAGATCGACACGCGAAGACAACAGGCTCCGTAACGCCACGAACAAGCGCACAATTACAGCGCACGTGAATGATAAATGACAGATCTAATAATTGAAGCACTTATATACAACCTCGGTGCCTTTTCACATTCACTTAAAGATAACCATACATGTTTACGTCATTTCAACAAGGGCACACTCAAGTTGTGCCCACGTCTACTGTTAATCGACATACTCGCACGCGTCGACAAAATGTTGACGATTATTTGGGGACGGGGGAGAATGGTATATAGTGGATTGCACGTTGTTGACAATTTCGCGTGGATATGCTCAGTTATGCTCATGACAACAACGCGGGTCAGCTATGTCGCATGCGTCACGGATAGATGACAACATCAGGTGGATCGGTTGACACTCCCACGCAGACAGGTAGAGGCAGTAAACAGATCTTAAGGAGAGACCCTCACCCTTCGCAGCCGTGCAGCGTTTTGTCAGCTAACTCTGAACCTCCTTCCCCGTGCTATTGTGTCAGGATTTGCACCCGGCCCTTCCCGTGTTAGCAAACCACATAGGGGTTGTTTTGCGTCGGACGCACACAAACCCATTTCGAATGTACCAACAGACACATGTAAGATCGTAGACAACACAATTTAGGCAGCTAATACGTAAAAATCTAGTTAGGAACATGCGTTTTTGGAAAAAGTATCCTCAATCGAAACTTGGATTTTCTTTATCCGGACACTATTTCTTTCGCATCTTAGTACGCATCTAACGGTAGTAGTAAATCTCTTATGACACATAGCTGTACTTACGATTCGTGGATAAGGGACGCGGCCAAAGGAATACAACTCCCAGAGCAGGATGCCGAAACTCCACATGTCCGATTTGTTTGAAAATTTCTGAAATAGCAAATAGCAATAGTTACACAGAAGTATCGTAACGAGTAGATAAAACCCAGTTCAGTTACTTCCGAGTGTAAAGTGTACAGTGGGCATAGCAAACGAATAAAATACAATCAAATACAACAGAAATAGAACAAAAACAAGTGCCGCGGAGCGACAGCGCTCATCTAACGTCTACTGCGGTGACTCTGTGGTGGAGTGCATGGTGGGATTCTAGTAAACCCTGTTAGTCCCAAATGTCACATACACGCCGATACAGTGGAAGGCACAGGGATGGTATCAGGAACCTTCTCAAAGGAATGTTCGTTGGGATTGTTATGAAAGTTGCCACGAGATGCTCGTACGTCTAAGTGTCTTCAGATTAAAGATGGAAGCTCCCATCGTACGTAGTAGCAACAAGCTATTGTGCAGACAGATTTAGGTAAGCAATCATCCATTTAGCCTCGCGAAACGCCTACAGGTTGAAATAGAGAGCTGCACATGTAACTATCTAGACGCAGGCAAGACTACACAGCTACACCACACCATGCACTTTTTTGGCAGTGGCACTGGCAGTGGCATACGTTAATGTATACCGATTTAGGAGTAACCTTCTTCAAACAAATTTTAGCTTTTGAACTTCACTGTGAATTGTAGCCTCTTACATTCAGGCCATTGTATAGATTCTACTAGCAAAACCGCAGTCACAATTTCTTTTAACAGTAAACAACATCCATGTTTAACGCTCTGAGGGTCCTAAACCCGGTTATCGACATCTTACTCTTCGCATGTCAGCAGAAGCTAATTTCTGGTCCCTTCAATAAAGCTAGTAAATGGCAAGGTCACCATGCTGAAACAAAAAAGTTTTCAATCGCTCGTCAGAACCATGTCCTCAGAAAATGTTTAAAATTCTGCCCTGGCCATGACCTTTGACCTTGCGTGACCTCTAATTTCGGCACCAGTATGGCGCTTTCCAGCCATGATGCTATACACGCACTATCGCTGAGCTAGGTTCAAGCGCTTTGATTTGTGCCGCAATTCTGCATTTTCCTCTCTATACTTTAGTTAAGGAGAGAGATGTTCCCCTTCATTTTACACTTCTGACTTTTGACACCTCATGACCCCCAGCTTCGACATCCAACTCGTTTCGGTTACTCCCCCCCCCCACGTCCGAATATCGTGACCGTACGTCGAGCGGTTAAGATATTTGTGCCCAACTGTTGACGGACGGACGAACGGACGATCATGCGATTCTACAAGCTGCATCTGACTACGTCAGATGAGCTAAAGACTACTATTACTCATTATTTGTTACCAAATTAATTATATTCAAGTTACATATAGTCATAAAATGTGTAAGACATATACTGTAGCCATGTAGGAACAACAAACAGATACTTATAAAACCTTATAAGAAAACAATAAAATTGTATACTGTAGGCATTGTGGTATAAATGGATTTTAGGATGCAAGGACAGGCCGGTTCATAATTTCTTGATAATATTCTTCATCATTTCTTGATCATCATTTTTCTGGTATTTTTTTTATTATTCATGTTGTTTTAATCACTTTATTAGTAACAGAATATGCTGAAGTTTTGTATATATGTATTTTTGTGCTTGTATATATTTTTTCTTCATGTTGTATAGCATTGTAATTGTACTGTATCCGTCAGAAATTTTATCATTTTAACTACTCAACACTATTGCTTTTATCAGATTTTTTCTCCATGAAAAAAACTGTCGTCAGTACATGTATTTGTATCTGAATTCATGCAATAAAGATTTAATAATAAAAATAATAATAATAATATACAGGGATACAAAATGTCTCCATACCAAAATCGCAGAAAATCTAAATATTAACAGCACACACGTTCAAATCACCTTTGCCCTTGGCGCAGAAAATGTTACATGAATGTTGGCTAACCATGACACTTCTAGTAGTGTGTACATATGAGAACGGTATGCTAATATGGCCGTGACTGCACTAAAAACAACGCAGTGGGTCAGTTCCTATCTGGCATGGTAACTGCTGCTGTTCTTGCCATATTTCCACAACGACTATAAGCTATACCTAACGTCTCACACTCGAAAACACAATTGTTGTGGCCTTTTCATATACAGCTCTATGCTAGAGCACAAATCCCCTTCTCATTTTAAGACCCGAGCAGGAATTCATTTTCACAAATAGCAATTGCTGAATCTGAAGGAAGTTTACTCGCAGACACGGCCACGAGTACTGGGCAAAACACGATGAGACAAAGGGCAAGCTTATGAAGAGCTCACAAAAATACCAAATGACGTGCCAGTCAGGACAGAGTGATAGCTATGCTATAGTTATAGTAACCACAAACAATACATTTGCGAAAACGTGCATTCAAGTGTAACACATTTTGGATCTTTTCCAAAGGGGTAACGTCATGCTACATGGTAATATAGATTCAATTGTCGTGACTACGAAAAATACATTGATAAATTAGCTGTAAGCTTTCCGAATAATTGGTATATTCTTAACCCAATATATATGATGGTTTGAGTTGCCTGTTATATGATGCGACTGAGTGCGTGTTTAATGTATAGACATTACATAGGAATTCCTGCTAGACTTACACAGTAAACAATTAATTATTTCTGATTCGGATTTAACAAAGCGAACAAGCTTTAATTTCAAATTTAATAGAGTTGATTCATTATTTCAACGATGGAAGCTGACGGTTTTATAGCTACAGTGCTCGATCGTCAAGAAAGCATGTCACAATGTTTAATCAGGGCCAGCGTTATTAGAGCCTTGCTAACACCTGATTGCCAGAAAACAAAACACTTAATTGTCTGCTTTTGCGTTACATCTGTAGTCTCGTGTTTCAGCAGCAGCTCAACAATAACTTGTAACACGTCGGCTGTTTCGTACCACCTGATGCCCGGACTGATGGCCACAAGATGTCGATATGTGTGTATTACTGTCAATTTATTGCCCCTCTTTCTGAGAAGCTGCAAAGCCCCCCCTTTTGGAAGTTATTGATCAATGCGAGGCTAATGCGGGGTATTATTTTGAGTAAAAAGTAAAAAGTTTAAGTATGTGGAATATATAAATGCTGATGTTAATTAAAAAATATATATTGATCCTTAAATTATTTAAAGGAAAAAGTGTTTCGGAGATTTTATAAGTTTATGCACACAAGCATTCGCGCGCACACACAAACACACACGCGCGCGCGCACGCACGCACGCACGCACGCACGCACGCACGCACACACACACACACACACACACACACACGCACATACACATGCATATTATAATTTTTACTCAATTAGGTGGATTAACAAAGTAACTACAAGGTTGACAGCTAAGTATAATTGCTAACGTACGTCAGTAAGGTTAGGATGTAAGTAGCTAGTGCTTTCTGACACACTGATATGTCAACATCAGATTTTTGCCACAGGCAAATGGGTAGTTTCTGAAAAAAATTGAGAGTAAATAAAGTAAACACTATCAGTAGGTAAATAAGGGTTAATGAAAACTACAGGAGGTGAGCAATACATATCAAGACTTTGCTAACCCTAAGGTGATTTCGTAAGATAATCTTTTATAAAATGTTGTACTCATTGGGTTAGTACTTGCACACGTAAATGAATACAGTTCGGATGAAATTGATACTATTATGATTCGTGAATTATTGGTAGGGTTTGGACTTTTTGGAATTAAAAAAAAACAATTTATACTGTAGGATAAGATTAATATACTGCGTTACCCTCTAGCATGATACGTGTACTTGTGTAACATTTGATGTCATCGCCCCTTGAGGCATGGAGACGAGGTGGGTACGTATTAGCTCTACCAGTGTAGAGCCTTCGCTCCCGATAGAGGTTCCTGTATCAGGAGCGAAGGGGCTACACAGGTAGAGCTAGGTACATATATATACCTTTTGAGGCTGAATATAGCATGCAAAATAGGGCAGCTGTATCTATCTGAAAACGCATTGTAAAAAATATTATTTCCACGCAAGAAATGTGTGGTTATACATTTCCAATGGTAAATGCAGAAGATGCAATTTAGTAAGATTTAGGTGACACAGATGCATCTGAACTTATGCTCCAATGACCCAAAACTACCTGCAACATATTTTTTAAGAATAAGTTTAAAAATTGGGCTAACCCAAATATTCCTCATTGTGTCTATTAAGGCTGGTAACGGGGAAACATCACGTGCACTCATATTATGCGTTCTGTTACGTGGGGTCCAATATAAGGGCAACCATTAATGAAAGTGTCAATCTTGGGTGTGATAGAAGAGGGAGGGGGGATATATATAAAGCAAGAGTATATCTGGGAGAACTCCCATTATATAGCATATCTCCCATTATATAATCTTGATAATAATATATGCATAGGTTTTGATGCGAAAATAAATGTTTTCGACCTGAAAGTCTGAAATCTTGACGAGAGATGGCGCTAAGCCTAAATGATCGCCATTTTGGTTTTCGAACATTGCGCAAATAAAAACAATAAAATATTCCAGTCAAATTACTGTAACGAAGAATCTAAAACACAATATTACATGTATATAGGTATGATTGTAGAGTTGTTAACCAGTTAGACAAAATAAACATAATAGGACGTTGTCATCTCTCCCATAGTAGTAACAACTGTTTTGGAACTAGCCTTACACATTAATATAACAAAATTTAACAAAATCGAATGAATCCAGATGAGACGGGATACTAGACAAGCGTTGCCGAAAGGTGTTAATCCGAAGTGCTGCGCGGAGTCTTGAGGCACGCAGTTCGCGGCAGGAGGCGCACAGCGATAGCAATGGGAAAGTCCTACGACAGTATGCAGCGTGAAGCTATGGATCGTGAGAACGAATGAATAAGGGGGCACGCACGATCAAATTAGCTGCATGCGACAGTCCGCAATTTGAGTAGGGAGGACACATTTTAGGTGTGGTGAGGAACAATTTTAGTGGGGGACATTATCTAGTGAGGGAACGTTGTTTGCAGACGTTCCTATGGCGGGA